ACTGTGCTTGCTGTCTGAGATGCAAGCTGGGAATTTTAGGCCCATCTCTACATTTTACGATTTTATAAAATACTTGCTCTTGTTCTTCAGTAAAATTGCTTTGCTAATATTTTTAAAACAAAAGAAAAGATTTTTCAGTCTCTTATCTTTTTTTTTCAAGTAATTCAGTGGAGAGGTTGAACAAAGCAATTTCAAGTAAAGCTGGAAATAGAATGTGTCTCTGGGTGCACTGGAATGTTCTGCCTCCTTGGATGAGTGGGCTAAATCCACTGAGTTAGATACCTTTATAGTCACCATTGTAAACACTGTAAATGGGTCTTGGTTCACAAGTGAAGCCCAAGAATTCTAATAATTAGTTTTATATTGCTTCTGGTGTCTTAACTCACTAGGGAAGTATATATTTGAGTTCCTGTTAGAGACAGCTTAAGATAAAGGACAACATTTCAGCTGAATGTCTTCTATAAAGCACTGTCTTAGGTTTACTAGTGTTTTCTTCTCCCCTGTCTTTAAGGGAAAGAAAACAACCACAAACCAAACAGTCCTTGGCTTTTAAATTAGGTTTTGTAGTCAGCTGTCAAGGCAGTCATGACGCATACAAAAACCCATGTGTTCTATTTTTTGTCATTAATCTCTCATTTTGTCTTGCAGTTGCACAGTTATAAAATTTGGAAGATTGAAAGGTGTAAATACTGGCAATTTTGCCAGTATATATTGGGCTCAGTTTCTTCTGCTGTAAACTGTCAGTGCCAGCCTTTGTCAGGAGAATATGAGCCCAGCAATTCAGACCTTATATTCCTTCTGGTACACAGCTCAAAAAAACCCCTACAAACCGAACCCAAAAAACCCGTCTCTAGATCTTATTCCTTTACTCACCACTGCAAAAGGCAGGCCCAGTTTAGCCTGTTTAGCTGTTAGTAATTTCTTTTCAGACATCACAGTCTACCTTCCATATATTTATTCTGTTCTATGTGGGAGTTTTGTGTATGTGAGGTGATGAGCTCACTGTGAACTTGTGACCTGTGGCCACAGTTGAGCGTCTCCATATTGCTTGTTTGCTTGGACCTGGGATGCCTCCATGTGGATATGGCTGCATGTCTAAAAAAATGCAGTGTGTGATAGGCGTCTCCAGAGTGAGTGGAAGCAGCCAACCTGCTTTTTCATCTTTGCTGGCTCTTGAGGTGGGGCAGATGCATTTTTCTGTGCGGAGCAACATATGAGGTGCAGTATTGAACTGATTTGAAGTGTCTCTCGCCTGATGCTGTAATTCACAGCCTAGGTAAATTGTTCAAAGGTGATGAGGGTTTACATTTGAGTTCCTACAGTAGTTTAAGTTCTCCCATTGCCCACAGGTACTCACAAAATCAGTTATATGTAAATGATATATTGTAACTAGAATGGAGAAAACATTCTTGAAATGATATGAAACCACAAGTTTCTTTGAATCTTCTCAAACAACCAGGGCAGGAGGAATGTCTGTCCTTAAGTGAAGAAAAAATTGATTTCATGGTTCTGGCATGAATCAAGATTCTGTAAGGAAAAAAACATCCTACTTCAGTGTTTGTGATGTCAGCAGAAATGGTATGGTGTGAGCAATTAGTAGAATGGGTAACACTACTGATGGATGTTCCACACTGCATCTTGCTGAAAGCTTCATATGGTTGTGAAACATTCTTGAAAAATCTTATGGTAAGCTGTGTGTCTGGCTAGAAGACGGCTCTGCGGAATTTAAAAGGTCATTCAAGAGGAAAATTCTTTAAAACAAACAATCCCTAAACCTTTGTTGCTGAGCATAGAAACCCTGGAGAGTCTCTGTTCCTACAGAGGAATGTAGCTGAGACACAGTGCTGTGACGTTTCAGATCTGTATTCTTTACTGTCTTTTATCACATGGAATTTGGAGAAATGGCCATGTGCTCTAGACACAAAAACAGGACTTTGAAAAGAACGTACAGCTTCAACTGGTGGGACCATGTAGAATCTTCTCACAGGATTAAGGAAATAGCGTTTGTTTTGAAAAGATGTTTAAAATACTCCTGTTTGCCATTTACTTTTGGGCTTTAACTGTGTTGCTCTTGTTTTGAAGCTTATCTTTGCAATCAAGAGTGTTATCACTAACATTGCAGGTGCTTGGGCTTATAAAAGATATGTTCAGAAACTTGGGAAGAAACTGAAGTGGAATCCCATAATGACAGGTGCTGAAGGAGACAGTCTTTCTTATTATTATTCAGATCTGTTCACGTCTTGGAAAAAATGGTCAAAATACAGCAATCTGGCAGTAATTTGACTGCATTTAAACTCCTACAGCTGCTACTGCAAGTGGGTCTGTATTAAAGGAATGACAACTGAAGGGGAGTATCAAGGCAAGAAAACACGTCTTCACTCTTTCCAAATATGAATGCATCGTCTCTTTTTACATGTGGCAGAGGTGCTAAAGTAAAGGGGAAGTTGTTAAAAAAAAAAAAAAAAAAGAGAAAACTTAAGGTAAGCCAGTTTCTTCTCAGTTTTGCAGGAAACAAAAATTGTTAGTCACACTGGCACTTAGCTCCATGGCTTGTATGACTGTTAACGAGTCTAGCAAAGCATCTAGGCAAGAAAGAGGATAAGGATATGATTTTCCTGGCATTTTTGTCTCCTCAAGGGGATCATCTTAAATATTGACATCATCCTCAGCAGTTAATATGTTTTAATATTTACTATGGAAAATGCTGTAATTTCAGGAATGACACCATACTAGTAGAGTTACATTGATCTGTAAGCAAGGTGATGACCAAAACTAAATTTGCCTGCTCTAGAGGAGTCATCTTTTTCAGCTCTTCCTTTTGATTTCTGTCTTAGAGCAACTCAAAGAAGGTAATCTTTGGTTTTTCATCTACAATTTTTCTTTTGGTGAGCAGAATTTAAAAGGAGGGGGGAGAGGATCACTTCAGTTGTGCTTTAGCACATATGCCCTAAGTTATGTATGTATTATTTATTTTTATCTTCTAGAGATTCTTGTTACATTTATACTCTACTTCTAGAGTTTTCATGTTACAGAAAGTACTGGCCTGTTTTGGGAACTGTGACGTGCAAATTCATGTACTAAGGCTGTCTAAAGGGAAGATGGGCTTATCCTCATGGGAAAGGCAAAGCCTGAAGAGACAGTAGAGCTGAGCAGGAAAATGAACATTTTTCTTGGAGCTGCAGCTTTCTTTTCTTTTTCTCATGTTTTGCAAATTCTTGGCTCCTCCTGACAAAAAATCTGCTGAAGACTTTCTCTTGAACTTGTGTTACCTTTGTTTTTGCCTTTCTGTCACTTATCTTGCTTCTATGACTGTGTCTTCCATTAGAGTCAAGTGTTATGGAAAAACAGTGTTTGTCTAGGCTGGCAGTGTAGAGGTGATTGACCTGCTGGTGAGTTGACCCTGGAGATAAAATTTCCATTCAGAGACAGGTGAAGCACCCTGAAGATAGGTTTTACTCGTTTAGGCGTACCACCAGGTACTACTACTCTTCAGTATTAGCTGTTTGGTCACCTCTGTCTACTGCACAGAATGTAATTGCTGAAGACAGTCAAAGGCAGTGTCAAAAACTTTTGCATTACTCTTCATTGTGAGATGTGGATACATCTCTCATGTTTTCATCTGCGGACAGCTGCATTTATCTGTGGTCCTAGTGTTCTCTTCTTGTGTGTGTGTCATCATAGATGTAAGATTTGTTGGTAGCCTCTACATAGAAAGTGAAACATGAAGGTAATTTGTTGTTCAGCTCTTAAAGCAGCCTATGCATATGATATATTGGGTTGTTATGTGGATATTGAGAATTCAGAAAAACTGTTGTGTTTTTTAAATGTATGCACAGGGCACAGTTGACTGTTAGAAGTTAAACTCTGCTTTTAACCAGCATAATTGTTGGGCACCTTTTATTATCTCTCTCCCTTTCTCTTGCTCTTGGCAACTATCAAATACCTGACAAATTATGTCTCTACTGATGATGCATCTGCTTTTTCTTTTTTTTTTCTCCCTGCTCTGCTTGCTTTCCCACTGAGTTTACTGGTAGATAAGAATCTGACTGCAGCACACAATCATGATCTGTCTGAATTTTCAGTACAAGGAGTTTTTGACTCAGCTTATTATATCACTGCTTTTGTGCAGTGCATTTCTTCAAATTGATGTACAAGGACAGTGTGTACTTAGATGCTGTTTTACTTGCTTTGGTACAGATTTTTTTTTCTTACTTTTTCTCTTAAGCGTTATTACTGTTGCTAGCAGGATTTCCCAAAATAATAATTCAAAGAAAAATTCTCAGTGGTTCTTTCCCATTTGAAATATATAATGTAAATATTTACCAGTAGTTTTGAATATGAATAAGTAAGAATATTTTCTGTTGGTGGATTGCAGAAATGGTTGTAATTTCTTAGCAGGGGGATCTGTTTCACTCACACCTTTATGTAATGATTCTCTTGCAAGAACATGTATGTCTGGCAGTAGAATGAGATCCTATTAAGTATTTGCAAATGATGCAGCAAAATTTCATGTATTATCTGAAATTTCTTTATACTGTACTGAAAGTATTGTAATTGTAGTTACAAGAAATAAAGAGCTAGAGTGTGATGTGCTGTGCTAAGTATAACGGACCAAAAAAGTTATTTCCTTTTGTTTCCTGACAGCATGCAAATCCTTTGTAGCAAATAGCATTTATTTTTGGGGCGGGGGAAAGAAGGAAAAAGAGTGCTTAGGGACTGACTTCAAAGCTACATGGGTGACCTTAATTTGGGAGCTACATATCTTTTGAGGGCTTGACTTTTTTCCATTGATAGTAACCTTATCTATCTATCTATCTATCTATTTATTTATTTATTTATTTATTTATTTATTTATTTATTTGTTTGTTCTTACTGAGAGTGCAACACTCCTAGATAAAACAGAACATTTAATTTGTCTCATTAAAGGACTAATTATTGTAATTGAAAAATTAAAATGTTTCCACTTTCCCCTCTTGTATCATGTTTATGTATGTTTTCAGATATGATTCTGGACCAGCAGGTGGGTTCTGGACAGCTCAGCGAGGATGTTCGTCACAGAGTGCACGAGGCATTACTGAAACAGCATCACCATCAGAACCAGAAGAAGCTGAGTAACAGGATCCCAATTGTGAGATCCTTTGCTGATATTGGAAAGAAGCAATCTGAGCCTCATTCCATGGATAAAAATGGTAATGCGTTGCTTTAGTTTGTGTTTTGGACTTTCAGTAATATCTACCTGTTTAGTATTGCATGTGCTTTGTACCCAAAGCTTGAACTTGGCGTGATTCTGCTCTGAAAAGCTACTGTGTGAAAGTGGTACCTGCTACATGAGAGTTGTTATTCTAATGCATTAAGTAACACACCTGTTTAAGTTAGAAATTCAGGTATCCTGCACAATTCAGGGCTGTGCAGAGATATTCAAAGGATCTAGCTCAGGTGTTGGAAGCAGGTAGCTGTGTTGGTGTGCCGTTCTGTCCTGGATAGTTGGTATGGCACATTACTTGTGGTGCAGCAGAGCTCACGGGCACTTGTGGTGCTCTAGTAACTCTGTGATCCTTCAGATTGAGCTTGAGTATCTTTGCTCAGTGTTGCTCTGAACTGTGGACATATTCCATTAGTGCCAGAAATGGGATATGACTGTTTTTTACTTCTATCGACTATCTGGGCCTACTTAGTTAAAATTGAATGGATTGTTGGAATAGTTTCTATGACAGTGTCTGCATTAGCCTAGTGTTCAACTGGTGCTTCAGATTTCATAGTTGAGTATGAGGGGCTGGAAAATGAGAAGAACATTTTCAAGATGACAGTTTTGGCGAGATCCTGTAGGAACTGTACCTTATTCTTCCAGAAAACCACTTTTTGAAAAATCAAGTTCATGGACATGAGAGAGCACATTTGTGGAGTTGTTCCACAGTAAAATATTGGCTTAACCTTTTTATTTCTTGCTTTTACGGAAGCCTTTCTAAGCTGTACTGTTGCTATAGGTTAATCATAATGAAAAATCATTTCTTATTTCCTCTTCTTTATTTACATAAACATGGGCCTGCGTTATGAAAATTTCAGCCAAATTTTGCAAGTATTTACAACTAATTCAGTGGAATTACACATTGCAGTGTTACTGAGCCTCTGTATCTAGTATCATCACAATATCCCCAACACTTTTGTCTGAAAACCACTGGACTATAGTGACTCTTATTCCAGAAATCACCTTAGCTATACTGAAACCTCAGTCCCTTCTGCTGTCTTTCTGGTTTAGGGCTCTACTGAGCTCTCCTGTTTTCCTGGGAAGTGAGGAAGGAGCCATAGCAGAGGGAAGGTGCTGGGTGCAAGAGTCAGCTGTGTGCTGTCAGGTGTAGGGTGGAAGGGAAAAGAGTAGTGCAGCTGATGTGGAAAGATGGGGCTGTTGGTATAAAGGTTAATCTTGGTTTCAAGGAAGGACCGTTTGTTTCAGTCATTGCCACATGAAGTTTAAATAGGTACTTGTGAATCTGGCTGCTTCCCAGGGGCAGACTTTCAGACCTAAAGGCAACATATAATTTCACCTGAAGAGGATGTTAAATAGAAACATATTGATTCTGCCAAAATATCATTTTAAGAGTAAAGAAAAAATACTGTTGATTGGAACAGATTGTCCAGAGAAGTTGTGGATGCCCCATCCCTGGAAGTGTTCAAGGCCAGGTTGAATGGAGTTTTGGGCAACCGGGTCTAGTGGAAGGTGTCCCTGCCCAGTGGCAGGGGGTTAGAACTAGGTGATCTTCAAAGGGTCCTTTTCAACCCAAATAATTTTATGATTTATTAAGATGTGTGTGATCATGTGCCCCTGCCCATGGCAGGGGGGTTGGAACTTGATGATCTTAAGGTCCTTTCCAACCCTAACTATTGTATGATTCTATGTATATTGATGCGCAAGGGTAAAAGCGAGTAGGGTGAACATCCATCATTTTAAAGGCAACTTTCCTGTTGATTTGTGCAATTGTTGCTAATGAATGATGACTTTAAACAAATATTCAGGAGAAATTTAAAGTTAGTCCTATAATATTCCTATTTCTTAATTTGCACAAAACGCAAGATGGAAACTTGCATTCCATAAGCTTTTTGCAGTGGAACTTATATAACAAATAAGCAGCAGATCTCCTTAAAAAGACCCCTTAGGGCAAGCAAGTATCATAAGCTCAGTTTTTTCTGACTGTTACTGGAGCTGGTGCAGCAATTCTCTACAGAAACATTTCCCTTTAGCATAAGTTTCTTCAGGGAACCTTTAAATCTTGTATCTGATTCTCCCCGGAGTAGATTCTGGACAACAGTTATGTCCATATTAAGCATACTAATTTTATATATTCAGTGGTTAAGTGATTCTGTAGATAAGGAGGCACATTCTTACTGGTTTTCATTTGCCTGTGCTTTTCTGCAAGATGAAAAATTGCTGAATTCTAGTTCACATGCAGATGTAGAGATTACCTCAGCAAACACCAGGATAGAAGAATCACTTGGTCACTTTCACTAAGTTAGTTTAGATTAAATGCACCCTAAATAATACAAATCTAAATAATTTTAGGAAAATTTATATAAAGGTGAATCAGCATTTTCTCTAAAATATAGTGAAGAGTTCCAAACCCAGTCTTTTTGGACACGGATGTTTTTTAATCAGTTTAAAGCATTGATCTTCTGCTTGCATCCTTTAAGTGCTAATGCATATTTGGCAATCTTCTGCATTGGCCTCTTCAAAACAGATGATGGCCCCGTAATAAAGCAAAGAGGGGTTGATTTATTTTAAGCTTCTCTTTGCCATTCATTACCCTGTTACATTAAAATTCTGATTCTTATTTTATTGCCTGAATTGTACTAAAATTAGCATTAGGTGTAGAAGAGGAATATTCAGTCTAAGTTTTTATTCTTAAAAGGAATTGGAATTTTTTCTCTTCAGGACAACAGCAACTAAGCAGGACATGGGATGGAGTAGCAACTATTGCCTCACTAAACCAGGGTTAAAGGAGTGGGGAAAGGGATGGATCTGGAGAGCTGCTTAATTTAAGGCACACTGAGTGCTATGTCCTCTGGCATATTCTAAATTCCTTCTTTACCCTGAGTAACTTGCTGTAGTACATGTTATATAAATTATGCATGAATCTACGCTGAAATGCTCAGTTTTCTGGAACTCTGCTGTCCTTAGAAGCTTGACCAGAGGTAGCTGCGAGGTTTCTGATCTTCTGCCATTGCCTCATGACCCAAATGCTAGAGTTCAGCTGCAGTGTTACGCTCACTGGAGCTATGTATTTCTCTTTAGATTGCTATGGAATGCCTGTACAAGCCTCTCGTAATAATACATATAAGATTTGTGAGAATATAACTTTGGATCAGGTGAAAGGGAAAGAAAAATCAGCTGAATATGCATAAAAGAAAGCAAAGCAGAAGGATATAAACATTAGATTGTCAAGAGTGTGCTGAGACTTACATCTTTGTTACCTAAGGACAAACTGGTAAAATGCAGTCAAGGCATAATTTTAGTCTGCTTACTCCCATTTGTGCACAAACATTATGTAGAATGTATGAATGTAAAATGTTCCATATATTGCGAACAGTGGCAATATTGTTCTCTCATTTTAATATAAAAATGCATTAAAATACTAAAATATTGTATTGCTTTTATTTTCTGAATGAGAAGCTTAATACCTAGAAGACTGCAGAGAGAAAACCAGATCATCTCAAGTACTACTGATGAGCTTACAGCTCAGTTCACCACTATCAGAGATCAGAGTTTTCAAAAGTGGCAAATGCCAGGAGCTTTAGATGGGCCAGTTGTTTGTCTCCATTGAAATTAGGCAGGGGAACTTGGACATTATTTCTGGAACTGAGTTGTGGTAAATTTGGGTTTAATGTACAGAGCTTAACTAATAACCATCCTTAGCAGTCTGCAGTGTGTACAATAGACTACTCAGAGCCAAAAGTCTTTGCCATCTGTTTTGTATGGTACAGCTGAGGATGCAAAACCCCTTCTTTGTCCAAGTTCTGGACTGTAGTAGCTAATCAATGTATCAGTCTCCAGATATTCAGGAGCAAGGCCTGAAAACAAACATGTAAACTTAAATTCAATATATGGTTGTGCTGCTGACAGACCACTGTGATATCTTTGCTGGAAGATAGTTGTACATATGTTCTCCCTCCATCTTTTCTTTGTTTAAGAGTCTGTCAGACCATCTAATTAATTTGCTTTGTATTTAGTAGTATTATCTTTTGTTTACAATGGCTTTTCTTCACATCCTCTGCAGGGCTAAGATGTCAGGGTGCTATGGATTTACCATGCATTTTTAATGCTGCCATGCTGTGTTTAACTTTCACTTTTCATTAAGCATCAAAACTGTGAGAATTAAAAGCCTGCTTTTGATGTTCCAGTAAAAACCGACAGTCAAATTTGGCATAAAAGCAGCAAAAAAAATTTTTTTTAAGTGTAATTTGACACCAAATACCCAAAATAGAGGGTGACAGGTAATTTTAGCATAAATACTGTAAAAAGCAGGTAAAATATGAATATTTGTCATTAGTAAACTTTGAAAAGTTTGGTTTGTAAAGCAATCTAAATTGAGATCAATAGCTTTTTTTACTCTGAAACCTGAGAGTTGTGTCTGTAAATTCTCACAACATGGTCTAAAAATCCAAAGACAATTGCAAATTACAACTTTCTGTTGTTGGAAGAGTGCTAAAATGATTTCATAAGCCTTTCCCCTTTTATAAGTGTGTGTGGCATCAAAAAGTAGCTGATTTGATGAAAATGTAGTTAGAAAAAGTTTTCATCGTGTAAATATTTTAGTTTTTTTGATTGGCTGTTTCACTTTTAGTCTAGACTTCAGAGTATGTGTGTGTGTATATATATGTAAGGGAGGAATTCGAACAAACTTTTTACCAATTAAAACCAAAGAGGAAGGAACTAGGGGAGAGGAGCATGGCAGGGTAAGTGCCTTGTAAATTGTATGTCCATGAACCTTGCTGAAGTGTTCTTTATCTATAATACGAGCATGCACCTGTTTTCTGTTCCGTACATATGCTGTTTTTAACTGTGTTTTCTCCTTTGGTGTCAGAGCAGACACATTATTAGTGTAAAAATTACATTATGCCACACATGATGTCTGATCTTGAGAAATTCTGAAATTCCAAGGTTTATTGATAAACTGAAGAGCTTGAAGAAAGCAGTGGC